TGTCCCTGAACAACCACTGTATTTCAAGATGGCGCAGTTACACGGAGAGAACTCTGCTCTCATGGACATTTATACGTTCAATCAATCAATCCAATTTTATTTATATAGCGCTTTTCATATAAAAAAATGAAAATGAAAACCATGATATGGAAAACAATTACAAAAGGTGAGGCGAATAATCTTAAAAAGGTCACATTTGTTAACAATATGTTTTTATCATATCATAAACACAGGGTGGCTTTAAGATAAAATTGTGAAGACACATACTCTCTGTCCTTGAATCAGGTCTTTACTTTTTTGGCACAACACTAATTGGGTATAAATTATGGCCATGGTGTTCTGAATGCAGAATTTCTTTTATGCAACAGTCTTATAACACTTTTGGGTAACTGAGAAGAGAATATAATTGGAACAACGTTGACAGGTAGGCTATGCAATTTGGATTATCTTATTTAGGATGTTTATTTTTCCTTAGACCATTATTATTCTTCCTTTGAGTCTGACAAGGTTAAACCCAACAAAGAGTTTCATAATTACTTCTCAATATTTTAGGAAGCCCACTCTTCTTAAGCTCTCTGCAAATTTGTCTGTCTGGCCCTTTTGGCTACAAGGCACATCCGTCCTCAAAGATTCCTACTCACTGTTGGGCCATATTTGTACAGTACATGAAAGAGCGAGCAAGCCCATTCCCCAGCCATGCCTCCTACAAGTTTAATAGGATAAGTTTCCCAGCCTAATGCAATAATTTGATCCTAGAATGGTTCCATGGCCGGGATCTAACCCTCTGAAGTGAACGACCAAGGGGCTAATCCATGCATTTGGAGGTCACTTAGAAATTCTGAGACCAAGGAAATCAATGGTTTCATCGTGGCTGCTGGAATGTGCACTAGACGCCTTTGGAAACAGTTCCCTTAGGATCCAGGTCAATGTTAAAACACGCCAGACTGATCCCATAAAAGGAGACTGGCTTTCATGTGATATCTGGAGGTAGACACATTTTGGATTGCGGCTCTGAACTTTGGGGGTCCTGGCAATAAATCAACAAATTCTGTTGTGTAAATGTGTTTTCACTGTGCCTTGCCGAGTCTCAGAAGAATTGTATCCATATAAGTCATTTGTGCAACCCAATATATCAACATATCTTGAAATGCATATGGCACAGATGTACAATCCAAAGTTGATATAGAAGATGGATATTATCTTAGGTCTGAGATTAGTAAAGCATTTCAACTTATCTGCATTAACATTCCACTCGGCTTTCAAACTCTATCTTGGAAATAAAACACAAAGAATGGACGCATACCTCTGGAATATTTACTGTACTTGAACTTTTGGTCATAGCAAGAAAAGTAGATGATTAAACATACTATCATGGGCTGGGCCTATAAACAAGAGAAATTCATTTAATGGTGTAAAGTAGAGTCTCGTATTGGAAATGTGCAAGTTTAAATGGGTTGAGCAAGACAAACGTCTAATCCAAATGGGAAAAGAGCTTTTATGACTCAGAGCAGTTAATATTCCATTAAAAAAACTTTTTGTATTAACAAAGATATTCTACTCAAACTATTTTGATACAAAAAACCCAAAGAAATAGCACAATGCCATTCATGATACCCCAGGAATTCTTCATGTTTCCTTTTGATGTAGTTACAGTATGTACTTCTGATGCTTTTACTTTGTTTTGTTAGTTTGTGGTATTGTATTTTAATCTCTAGCACTTTGAAGTTTCCTGGAAATGTATGGTACAATATAAATCATATGTATTATTTTTAGTATTATTATCATTAATAGTTTATAAATTATCTTTTTGGACATTAAACTTCAAAAGTAAAAATGGGGCCTATACTTATATGGGGCCATATGGTTTAATACGAGTTCATCTGATGCAGTTTACGGAATGCTTAAGAAATTATTCTTATTATCGATACTTATATTTTGGTCATATTTTGTTATAAACTAGCTGTGGATCCTGTAAGTGACTTATTTCATCAAAATAGGGGCTTGCTTTGGGGGACCGATTCTTCCAAACCTTTACCCGAACCATCAACATGTCCAATATCTGCACCTATTGAATTAGACACAGATCTCATATTTTTTTATTTAAACTGTTCACTATTTGCTGGACTACACCCATAGTTTAATTTAAAAAGTAAAAATAGGAACATTGAAGAATTTTGATAACTGTATTGCCTTGCACTGGCTGGTCTCTGGTTTGCCACAATTCTCCAGTGAAGTCTAGTTGTTATCGTCGACTCCCGCTTTTATCCCCGTTCCATTTGTCATCACGACCTGACAGCCCCGGCTGCCGTCAAATCCAGAACGAGCAATTAATCCTGCAGCCGCCATCTGACACGGACTGCAGAGCTGCCACTTCCATCGCTGCTGCTGCTACTTTCACTCAGCCTGTAGAAGCGATCTGCATCACGGGAAGAGTAGTCCGATGCTGGCTAAACGCACGGAAGAGTTTTATGAGGTTAATAGAACAAGTTAATGAAGCGCTTTATTGATGCCTCCCCAAGGTCGTCCCGTCTGCGGTCTCTGGGGCTGGCGTACAGTGATGCGCAGTGGAGCTCCCCGTGGTGCCTTCAAGGTTAAGCACGGAGTTAACCTGAGAAAATTAGTTACTAAATAAGATGGCTTTAAGGTGTTTTCCATGAAGTAAACTCGCAGGAGGTGGTTTAATGAGGCTCTTTGGGATTAGTGAAATGTTGGAATAGTTAGCGTTCTTTGAGGTAGTTACACGTGTTTATAAGATCAGCAAGACTTTCCGTGGGGTCTTGCGCAATAGCACTGGCTCATATTGTTCAACTTATGCTCAATACATAGATGGATCAAGATGTTGAGGTGGGACAATCGTATGAGATATTATTTCCACATAAAACTGGTGTAATGGGTTGTCATTTTTGTATGTAACGCAGCAGAGGAATTGATCATCGCTTCTGTTGTGTCAAAAGGCACAACAAAGACTGACGTTTTTTTTTATTTTGCAGTATGCCACAAAAAAAATGATGGTTGAAATCTCATAAATATATATTATAAGATACCACATAATTCCCCTTTAAGTAAACCCTGTAGGTACATTTAGGAGTTTTTTTCTTTTTCCAAATTTTCATGAGAGTTAAGCCAGATCTCTGTCTTGAAAGTGTCTTGCTAATTTCTGCTCATTTCAATTGGGCAAGATTTTTTTATGATTTGCATATGAACACCATTTGCCAGTTAACATGTCTCCTTTCAAACAATGCAGATTTCACATGCACATTATACCTTTTGGGAAAACTAGATTTTTTTTCTTCAGTTATAGTCAATGAACCAGACATCAATACTATTAAACAATGTTTTGTACAAATACATGCTTAAATGTTTTAGAATTTGGGCATTTTTCCAAGTCCTAAAATATGGATTAGGGATGCTGCTGATAAAAACAGACCCAATTATCATGATCATAGATAATTTATAACAGACCAATTGAATATTTATGGCGATTGTGGATCTTATTTCCAGTCAAAGGTTTTTTTCATTCCAACACAGATTGTTCTTAATGATGAACGAAGACCACAACTGCTTCCACTCTAAATCCAAAACAAGCCATTACTCTTCCAAATTGAAAGTTGAATGATACTGAATAATTGATTGACTTTAGGAGTTGCATATTGTAATTTCCTCTTAGCATACATCAGGCTTCTCTATCCCCATCCCAGCTGTTTAGAAGCACTCCCACCAATTCTTCACCATGATTGATCCTTTTGTGCCAGACTTTGCATCTGTCAAATCAGCAGGTAGTCCGAGGCGTTTCAATGGAGTCAGTTTCATTAAGTCCCAGACCTTTCCCACTGATCGCTATATAGAGCAGAGAGACTGGAACACTGTATTATATGCAAAGTCTGAAACGTACAATCAATGCTCTAATGAGTTATTGATGTTTAAAATGCAATTCTCTTCGTAGGAGTGACGCCCAATCCTTAAAATCCTGTCGACAATACTGTTTACAGCTGTCATCGAAGGATTTTCTTTAATCAAATGTCGTCCACCAAAAGATCAATTGGTTTCCTGTTATGAAAGACACCTTTTTTCCTTTCCTCTCTGAGATTTAAAAAAATAATAAATAGCTGGAAATCCAATCTGTCAACTCTGGGGTATAGACAGGATCTGGGATGTCCTTATCTGAAAACAGAGGATGTTGTGAGAGATGGCCACACAGGTTTTAGCCAAAATAAAGAAAGTCTTTAGGAGCACAAAAGAGGCTGGAATCTCCGTGCCCATCTTGATAAGAAAGTCTTCAGAAGGACTTAATAGACTTGGGTGAGCAGCCACAAGGAACGCTGACAGGAGGATGGTGGTATGGTGGTCCTGTCTTCTGGACGACACCTGCCACATTCTCCAACCAGGACCGAGAGGATTTGAGTTACGACTATGGATGGAAGATTCCACTCTCAGGAAGCGTTTTATTTTAGACTCCTTACCCTAGGATGAATTCTTAGACCGTGGCGTCATGGTTACAAAGGTATTCTCAGCCTTTTGCATTGCCTAAATAATCATTTTGGGGAATTTCTTGCACACTACTAAATGATGCAGTTTTCCACAACGAAAGATGTTTCATTCATATAAAGTAGCTAACATATGTGAGAGACCGACATTATGTGAAAGTCGGCATGAAGTTGATCACAAAGTTAGGTACACAAACTTTAAGGGACAAATGAACAACAATAATCCATAACACGTGTTTAGAGTTAGAGTCACTCATACACCAGTATAAATAGCAATGTTAATATGTAGCAAGCCCAACACATTCTATTTTCTTGCCATTACAATACAGTAGCTTTGATAGATGTCATTTTGAACAAGTGGTTTTAAAATATATGCAAATAATATTTATAATCTGGTATCTGTCAAACGTAATTTCACTTTACATAACCAGATTTATGTGTATGGTCCATTTACACACTGCAGCTTAGCAAATGACCCAAGCTTAATTAAAGACGATCAAACCTTGTCAAAGCCATCTAGTCACAGCTCGTCTTGCAGACCACCAGCGTCAGGGGGACACAGCCGTCTATATCCCCCCACTCCCCCGCATCCTCCACGGGCTCTAATGAGACATGACGGAGGTGTACCACGGCCCTTATTCCATTACACACTTCATCTTCGGCTCCAGCCTGCGCCGCACACACACTTCCAGAGGGGATTTCTGCAGCAGTCATTGTGAGGGGCCCGGGCATTTCCACTGGCGCAGCATCAGCAAAGTGACAGGAATGATAAGGGAGACACGGCCATGTTGGTATCAGGGGGAAAAGAGTAGGAAAACATGAGGGTTTGTTCTCCTTCAGAAAGTATTAGCTTGTAAATGAAGCCGAGACGAGGAAACCAGTCCCATGGAATACTCTCAAGGCATTTTTCAGTTATGAAGCCTTTAGACAGTAATAATTTATGACACGTTTTGTATCGTCTTTGAAATTGCCAACAAAGATCATTGCGATTAGTCTTTCTGCGTGATGTGTTCTTGTAGATCTGGCATGTCCAAAGTCCGGCCCGTGGGTCATTTATTGTGGCCCTCTGCTTTGCTAACCATGAGTTGCCTTATTCATAAAACACAAGTTGTAATCCAACAAACTTCAGCTTTGCCAATATAAGCATGCTCTACTTCTAAAGCCTCAGAAGCTCCAAATCCATTTTTTGACTTTGGTTGTTGCTTTAAGGCTGAGTTTACACGGAGACAATGTGGCAGTAAAACCCTATAGTTGGATGTCGGTTTCTACCAACCGTTCATACGAAGACTGTGTTCCAGGGGGGTCAAAACGTAAGTATTCAGATCCAGCCTGCAGAGTGGGACAGCTCAGATACGCTGCACAGTGGGGCGCTCTTTCACACCCGCGAGAGGAAAAAAGCGGGCTCCCCGCACGTAAATTTGGACATGCGCAGTAGCGGAGAACAAGCGTAAACAACAATGGCGGCGGGTTTACTAACTAGCTTCGTGGGCTTTGAGCGCTGCACAGAGGATAATTCTACACCTTCGTTCGTCCAAACGAGACCACGCGAAGCTCTAGGTTCAGTTTCCATTTTCACAGCTGCTGTTAAAATGCAGAATTATGTTGGTGCGTTCTTCCCCTGTTCTTCCGTGTCTTTCGGAAGTGAGTACACTGCCCGGTCGTGTGAGTGTTGTAAAGTTTCTCTGCCCACTACTGGCTGGGCGCTAGAACTACATCGTTTTTCAACCTCATATGTACGCTGAGAAAATTGCATTAGGAACCTGGTCGTTTCTGTTAATAGCCTGGAAATGTCTGCACAGCGTCTCAGTATAAACTCAGCCTAATTTACGTACAAAATCACATCACTTATGCTAATGTACTAGCAGGTGAGAAAGACATTTGTCCGTCAAACAGGCTCAGTCAAATGTGAATCAACATAAAGATGATGCCTCTTTTTAAAGTTCAGAGCATCGTCATATCAGTCACAAAGATTTTACAGTTTGAGTTGTGAACTATTGTGATCCTTGCAGTAAAGTTTTTGGAGTTTCTAATTTCACTTGTAACAAATGTAACAAAGTAAGATGCTATAGTTTTATACTCCTCATGCCTTGACAAATGATTGTTTCTGTTCTGTCTGAGTAAAAAGTGTTTTGGAACAGGGTGTGTTTGAAACAGATGAAGCTGTATTCTTAGGGTGTATTCAGACCTGAAAAGTCCTTTGCTCCGCTTGCTTGATCCGAATCAAAAGCGGACCAAACTTTTTTCTTTTGCTCCGGTTCGTATTCAGACTGTCCTTTTTGCAAGTGAACTTTTTTATACAAACATATTGACACGTGTGACGATCGGCGCTCCTATTGGACAGCAAGAGCTCACGGAGGATAGACGCGGAACCGGCGGAAAACATTGAGGGCTCGTATGTGCAGCAGTCTGCACTGCCTCTGTTTGCTCTTTTTAGAGCAAAACCACCTTCAACATCAACAGCAGCTCATATGACACAAGCCAAACACGTTGTTTTAAATATTGGATCAGCGTCAAAGAATGCGTGAGGAGAAAGCCGAAGGAGACTGTCTGTGCGCTCCGTGCCCTGTCCCACACATGGATCTATTATAATAACGGCCCCGTTAAACATTGTGGATAAACCATGGATCTATAATAACCATGGGACAAACAGACGCTGAGGATCAGGTAGGAACCAAAGAACACAATTCACTACATGATGCGGGATATTGCTCTTTGAGACGTGAGTCAAACAGTGTCAGGCTTTTAATAATGCAAAGGGTTTGAAGATGCTGCCATTAACATCACTGTATACTGTGAACAGTTGTAACTCTATAAGCCTGTTCCACAGCGTCTCCTCACTGCTCCAGGTCTGCACACGGCTCATTGTTGTTGTTGTGTAGTGTTAGCAGCATAGTTAGCCGCTGCATGGCTAATTCCTCAGTTTCTGTCTGCGGCTTGAGAAGCCCAAAAAATGCGCACGTATCTTGGAGTTGTGTCGGATCGACACCGGATGTATTCAGACCTGATTCGACCTGGACCAGAATTCGTTTGGAAGCGGACCGAGACCACCTAAAAAAGTGGGTCTCGGTTCGGTTCTTTGGTCCGGACCAGGATTCGTTTGTGTGTATTCAGACCTGCATAAAAGGTTCTGATCAGAGTTCCAAACGCATCCTGGTCCGTTTAAAGTGGAGCAAATGTGCAGGTCTGAATACACCCTTAGACATTTCTGAACTCATAAGACACGTTGCTTATCACTTTATCTGTGCTGCTGAGAACCACCTCTGTCCATCAGCGCTGTTTACTTTGTATGAGGATTGTGTAAATAAAATCAGAGCATAAGCATAAGAGAAATGTTCTAACTATTCAAATTAGCCTTTTAAAAGGACAAATTCTTATACCTGTTCAGAAAGTACTCCTCTGTGTTCTGGTATTGTGCTGTGAATCTAAGGATCCTTTAATGCATTATTTACTTCTGGGAATTAAATCCAGAGATAAAAACTAGCATTACAACTCTACTTCAAAATACAGAAAAAAACAAACTGCAATAGATTTTCTTTTGAATTAACATTTGATTGGTAAATGCATCTGAAAAGCTCTAATCATCACTTCAAGTATATGCTCCTTGGACTGTTGAGTAAACAAACTTGCCTTGTCAACATCCCAGGCATTTCCTCCTCTCTTCCCCAGCCATGGTAACCATCCCCCTTCCAGACGGCAGCCGTGTTGACAGCTAAACAACTCCTCCACACTTGTAGTTTCCCTCCTCCCTCTGGACTTTTGATGTGTCTCCAAACTGTCTTCCAGCCCGTACTTTGCAGCCGCATTAGCAAACATTGTTCTCCAGGAGCATGTCTCGCCGAAGCACCATGTTGGAGCTGCAGGAGATAATCGCAGGCCAGAGGGAACAAAGCGCGTCTTGTTGCGGTTGCGCTGTGATTAATGACCGTCTGAGAACACACACCTAGGCCACCGCATTGACAAAGCCCAAGTTTGGATTTCCAGGCAGTGGACTGGATCTGGATGTAGGGATCAATGATATGGAGGAAGGGCAAATGCAATGAAACATGGTTGTGTGAGATAAGAAATACATTATTCAAGTTTGGTTTTAATGGCTTTGTTGAGCTTTTAACCTTATTACACCATTGTAAAAACCACTCCAGGTTACTGACCTGGAAGGGGGGGGGACTAGTGCTCATAGCACTAGTCCCTCGCATCCTCTGCACAGGTGGTGGGTCCACAGGAAGATGGCCGCTCCGTCAGTGGTGCCACAGCCTTGGTCTGTCAGCGGGAGCTTCAGGGGTTAAGAAGTGTCTTGCCCAAGGACACAACGACAGTAGACATTTGTGGGAGTAGTTGGTTGGAGTAGGTCCCATGGTGGGCCCACGACCCACGACCTCCAGGCCCAAAGGCCAATGCTGTACCAACAGAGCTACTGTCGCCCCCATATTGCCCTGAAATTACTTTTACAATCACATTACTTTGTTTTCAGACGGTAACTTAAGCACTTCCTTCTGACGGTAGCGTGGAGATAAGGTCGGCTGGCAACATGTTATACCCTTCATTGTTGTTTCACCATACATCTTCAACTTAAGATATTTCACATTCTAAAACATTAAATGAAAGTAAATTGTCTCTTTATCCTTTCAATGTTCTTCAGGAAGTAATTAATGGACATACAGACAAAATAGGATCCTAAAGGTAGTATAACCTAATTCTTTAAGCAAAACCCTGGAGTGGCTTTGAGCTGGGCCTCAGTTTCTCACTTTTGTGGCACCGCCCAGAGCCGTCAAGAGGTCTCTTGTTTTCAATCCATAAATCTTCAACAAAATAACTGGCTTTTCTCAGTCAGACTTTTGAATATAGATTGGTTTGTCAATGCCTTTTAGATAGGATTTGTGAGAAGTAAATGGGTATCATGCCAAAATTATATTTTTCATTTTTTTTCCAGTATTTGTCTCATACATGGGTATATTGTATGTACTTTGCAGGCTTGTCACTACAAATATCCACATTTGGGCTGGGAAAATCAAATTTGACATAATTCTATTCTTAGAAATAATAAGAACATCCAAAAGAATTTTAGACAACCCCTAATATTTGAATAACAGCTTCTGTTTTGGCTGTTTTCAAGTGTTTTTTTCTAACTGGCATGTGTCCTTGTGACCACTTTGTGGCTCTCTGTTGCACGGGTTTTTTTTGCATTTAATGCTCAAAATAAGTATTCAAAAACATACAATTTTATAATTGATAAGAAATTCAAATGGCTTAAGTCCCAGCACAAACCCACATCCAAAGGAAATGAAAGGCAACATTCACAACATATTGATCTATCTTCAGGACACAAAACAAGAATCACATAATAAAATTATACACATTTAAAATAATCAATTTTTAGGTTTGGAAAAGGGCAGAACACACATATCCAAGCTGATCAATCAACAGCCTCTTGGGCCACACACACTCACATGTGCTCGACAAATGTGTTCAGACAATGGGCTATTAGCAGCAACCAAGAGGAAAGCATTTAACTGTGTGCGATGACAGAGAAAGTGAAATATGGGGCAAAAAGATGCAGTTTGGGGCATTACCTCAGTCATTATTAGACGACTTGTTTCACAAATGTTTGTCAGACTAATGCCGATTAAAGGGTCAGCAGTTCACTTTAAGGAACTAAAAAACGTTTTTTGGAAGAAAAAAAAAAAAACTAAAACTAAAAAACAACTTTTTTACTTATGGATGTAGCTTTAAAGGAGACAAGCTCCTGACCCTATACCCTCCTACATAAAATGTGATAAAAATGTTGCATGCATTATTGTACATATATCAACATTCATTTTAAACATTGTTATAAAGGGGATGATTTTGCGCACTTCCATGTTCAGAGGAAAAGTGGTCACATCAAAAGCAATCTATACCCTCCATGTCGGAAATGTCAAAATGACTGAAACATGCGTGAATTGGTATAAAACATGACAAGGGACATCATGGTTGAAAGCTGTGAAAAGTCCATTTTGCATGCTTTGCTCTCTTTTTTATCAAATTTTAGAATGGAAAGGGGAGGACATGTTGACATTAGTCCAATAGTGGCCTTTGGAACAGCCACGTTACACACATTCAGCGCACAGTGTTTATCTGCACTTCCTGTCAGTCGTGTTTAACTGTTGCAAAGTGTTGCGTGCAGCAGGTAAACAGCTCATACTCTTGGGTATTTGTGAGCTAATACAAAAGCCTCCAGCAAAGTCTTCTTGGACAAATTTGGAGATGAAGCGTCCCAAATTTGCCTTGAGACCTTTTTCCGCTGGGTGCATGTACAGACACAGCAGATCCACAGATGACGAACAGTTACGTTGGTAAAATATTGGCAGAAGTTAGTTTGATTGTTTTAGGCACTAAGCCTAGGAGTTGGTCATTGGAAAAGAATGTGTTCAAACAACAGTGACCAATGATGATGAGATTACACCTTTTTTGTTGTTCAGAGATTTACATTAAAAGATTACATTTTTTTAAATCATTTTTTTCTTTGTATTTCTCCATACAATGTTGATTTTACAGCCATTCATGCATGTTCACTCAGTAGTCACGTTATCATTACTCAGACTACCCCATTTTCAACGCCACTGTTCTTTTGGACTGAAACAATGAATGGTATTCAGGGAGATGTTTCTACCAATTAAAAATGTAATGCGTCTAAAAATGGTTATTTCACAGTTATTTGAGTGTATCGCCGGTTCTGATGTGGTTTTGAGGAAAACTGAACTAAAAGCCATTCGCTAAGAAGTTGTGAAAGACACACCAAACAAAAGACAGGAGAGGATTGAAAGAAAAACAAAGAGGTCTCTTGTTTACGGTTCATAAATCTTCAAAAAACTTTATTCTCAGCATTACTGTTGTCAAATTGTGTTCTTTACCACTGCGTTATTGTGTGAACTGGCTTTTTCTCAGTCAGACTTAATAATAGATTGCTGTGCTAATGCCTTTAGATATGATTAGTAACAAGTAAATGGGCATCATTCCAGGTTAAAAAAGTTAGATAAAATCGTCATATATACCTATACTGATTTATCAAAACAGTTCTGATTAAAAGGATTAGATTACAATTTCTTTGGCTCACTTAAACTATTAAAAGTGATATTGTTGAAAAATTAAGTTCAGAAATAAACAATTATGGTTTTCATATAGTTTTACATTTTACAGAGATATGTCCGACTGGCGCCAACACTGCTCTGAGGAGTTATTTAACAATTAGTTCAACTGTTCGCTAAAGTGATTTTCTATGTCGGAATGTTGTCATATACAGTCTTATAGAAGCAAGAACACATGCAGTCATTTTGAACAAGGACGGACAAACACACAGACACAATGCCGTCTTCTTAGTTTAATATAATCTGGAAAGCCCTAAATGGAAAACTATTGTATTTGCTGGCTCCTTACACAAGTTCATAACCCACTTTATGCACATTTGAGCACAATTATTCAACCATTATTGCCTATTTTTATTGCTTTGTACAGAATGACCAAGTTGACCGCCAACCCGTGTCCATATTTCATTTCAAAATTGGCACGCTTTTCCATAATTATATTCTTCCCCGTCTTTGCGGCGCCATCAAACTATCCATCAATCCGCTCTTCCACGCTCCAATCAAATTAGTCTCCCGCCCCCTGCCCTAATATTTCACGATTATTTGCATATGTAAGTGTTAGTATTGACTGTGCTACCCATTTGTCTGGACTTAGTTTTGGACTCACTCTGGACAATGGGTGTAATTGGGGGCCACCTGCTTGTTGAGGCGGCCCAGGCAGATCACTGGAGCTGGCGTACGAGGCAGCTGCGGATATGATAAACGCAATTATCTCGTTTGGGTAATATGGGCCAATCATCTGACATCATGAATCTTTCACAGATGAGAAGCGTGATGAATGGAAGACAGAGATGCGTGGCAGATACGGAGGTCAATCTGATTTAGAATTTCAATTTGGAATGATGCGGCATGCGCGGTAAATAGGTAAATACATGCATGGGTAAACAATGTGCAGAATTATTGGATTGCTGTTGAAATATTGTAGTTTCAAAAATATATATTTTTAATGACATTGCACTATATGGGTTTTTTGTGTGATGAGTTCCTATCAGCTATCTCTCCTGGGGTCCATTTAGGGCTGTAATTAACAATTATTTTGATGGGACGATTATTTTTTCAATTAACCAATTAGTATAGAACCTGTAAGGTCAATAAATGTGGGATCTTTCATGCTTTTGCCAAAACGAAGCTCAGGGGATTTCCCAGGAGGAACATTCTCATAAAGATGACTTGTTCCATATTGGGTTGTTCGAGTAAAAATACTTGTAGATTATAGAATTATCTGAATTATAAAATGTAAAGTATATATGTTTTTTCATCATTGATTAGTTGTAATTAATTGTTTAACCTCCCAAGATACAATACAGTATTTCCTGTACATTTAAAACAGGACAAACAGATAATGTAATGGCATGTTAATTTCAACACAAAAATCAGTTCAAGTAAAAGTAATACATTTAAAAGAAAATCCAAAGTGATGGAAGTGGAGCCCTTGTTGCAGTTTTTTCCCTTGTAAATTACCTTTTTTAAAACAAAAAGTGGCTTTAACTTTGTGCCAAACTCAATATTTGTCTCACTGTGTGCCACAAAAAGCTGATGTCAAAACCAATTGCAACTACTATGTCCTGTTCTACTTTGTAATAGATATACTTGAAATATATGATGACAAAGTGTTATGTTTATCTTTTATATAGTATGTAATTTAATATTTCATGATTGCGTAAAAATACAGTAGATACGTTTTTACTTCCACTG